CACCAAAATATGGGACAGGAATATCCCATAAACCCTACGACGCTGTCAGCTAACGCGGCTTGTGTCAAGCCCTGATTTAAAAACTACCAAACCACGACACTGAAAATAACCATCAGTCTTAGAAAAACGATGGGCCTCAATTGTTACAGTTCATACCCCTATTCACTGAATGCACACTTTTTTCACTTTTCAGTAAGAGAATCCTTTGAAATGAATTGAAAAAAAGGATTTTTTTCACGGACTTGTCGACTGACCACGAAAGAATTTTTAAAATGCAGTCATTTTGGTCGCATAAATAAGATAGCTAACTGTGAATTAATTTGCAAACGATAAAAGATATTACTAAAGTTACTTCAGCCGGTTTCTTCACACCCAGAAATGCTCCTCCATTATGCATGGATGCCCGTGGGAGGGTTGATGAATATTAATGAGTTAGGACGCAAACACACTCCCCACCAGTGCTGCATCAACATTCGGTCGTACACATTACCCCTCCTATAAAAAAAATTTTAAAAAGTCCAAAATGCTGTTGAGTTAAACCTCTTTCAGTGTTGAAAAATTGCACAGAAATGGTATTAGGATAGCACGGATGGTGTAGAGACAAGTTTTGAAACCCTTTCTTTTAATTTTGTAATAATTTACGCAATGGGAAGTAAATATTGGCTTGGTTCTAGTAGTAAGGCACTATATTATTGAGTAATTTTAACAGATATTAATAGGGACTAGTCGAGAAAAAACCGTCTCAATATTGGGAGATAAGAAGGGCGCGAAACATCAGTAACTGCATTCCAATGCTTTGGCTGTGGTTACAAGAGAAAAAAACACTTGAAATAAATATAGGCCAAAATGAACTGCATGCGGCTACGCCATTTCCATGTCTAATGGAATATCCCACGGGAGCCGCCCTTCTGTCATGGGAATCGTTTTCCTTAACCATGTCACACTTGCCATTTTATTCGCAAAATGCACACTTTGTCGTTGTGGTTTTGGCATTTAATTGCTTCTTGAGTTGCATAAGGCGCATCGCAAAACAGCGGAAGAGAGGATGAGGTTTTCTGTCTTTGTTTAATTTAGCCAGAGCAATTACTAAATGTGATCCCTTCTGCATGGGTAATATCTGCATTTGTCTGCGTTGTAAACTGTACACTATGTCCTTTTCAAACTATGAGTAAGCATTTCATTCCAGGGCTTAAAAGCTTGGCAATTATTAGAAATCTTTCACTTTTTCTCATTTATTTGCCTCAACAAAGCGCCTTTAAGATTTGCGGCTTTGACAGGAAAACTTTTAACTTACTTTGAAAATACCGCTCAACGCGAAGCTTGGATTTTGTGACGAAAAATAAAATTAGGATGGTTGGGATCAACACAATTTTATGCAATGCTACTGAAAGATGACGTCAACTGCAGTTGGAAGAAGACAATTAAACGGCGTCTAGAGCCTAAAAACATCCTGTCGCCGGAGCTTTATTCCTTAAATTTTCAGGTCTATATGGCGACTGCACTGGTTCTAGCCTGCACCACGGTGTGGAAATGGGACGGTACTAAGCTCATCGGGAGATTTCATTACGGCATCAGCAAGCGGTATATGTCGGTGCTAAGTCGATGTGAAATCACTTCTAAATGATACAACCTGGTCTAATCCCGTTCAATTTTCCACGAGTTCGGTTCCACATTTTAAGCATCTATAATTTGACGTCTTTGTTACTGGGCACCAATTTTCTCCATCATCTGGAAATTGTGGTAGAGGCAAGAGTAGAAAGTCAAAAATAAGTGAGTGAAAAGGTGATGGTGAAAGTGAAATATAGATTGCATGAATATTTTCAATGACCATTCGTGATTTTCACGAAGGGACAGAAATAAAATACGACTTTTCAAGCCTGTACTTTCACACCGATTGAGGTTGGACAAGGGTAAACGAGGGCGAATTCTAGAGGCCTGCATCGCACTAAAAAACAATCATGAGGGGGCGATAATCTTTTTTATTCCTGTCTTATTAGTTCGTAAAAATGTCCCACTCTTCTGAAAGAAAAATAATAACCTTTTAAGCATGTACTATTGGCTTTTAGAACTACGAACCATCTTAATGGTTTGTGAGGAGATGCTCCTATCAAATAAACGTATTCCCATCAGTTAAACACATATACGAAAATCATGTAGTAACGTCGTCATTATGGGCTGGTATGCTAAAGTTGTTCAAAAGTTTTTACGCATTCACTTGCACGGATTTATATCATATTTTGATAAAGAGACTAAATTTTAGCTGAAACTGGATAATGTTACAGCATCTACCTACTCCTCGATCGCGGATACTCTTAACAAAATTAGCAGCCGTCAACACCATTCAAAGGACTTGGGAGCATTATTAGATCAACTTACTATAAAAGGAAACAACACTACTACATTGTAGCATATTTGGCATTTGTGCGGAGCTAGGAAGCACCGCTGTCAGTTTTTAAGTGGTTCAAACCTATCTCATTTATTTTCACAGACAATGCGAAGGCAGTTGTACTCATTACAGTCTGTTGGCAGACTCGTGTTATCATTCAGCCTCATCTAAGGCAACGCCAGGTTCACTGACCTTTGCTTGGCATTCAATTGCGCACTTTATCTGTTTTTTAGGGTCCCCAATGCACTATTCATAATACGACCACCAACTCATGTGTGGACGGTCACTAACAATTCATCTTGCGATCTTCTTGTAAAATAAAGACTGTTCGCAGGACACAAACTGAAATTTTTCGGATATACTACAATTTTCCTTTTACCGATACTTGGCAAGGTTTTATGACACACATTAATCTCTCAGAGGCGTATTCATACAGAGTCTACAAATAATACGAATCGTTCTGGAAAACGCAGTTTCTTCAGCAAAATTATACTTTTGTTAACAATTTACTACTAGTAGACGCAGCGGAACATTTTAGTTGATTTCAATCTTTTTTCTCAAAGTGCAGTACATCAAATAATTCCATTTCATTCGACGAACGCTAGCACAATGGAGTAGGAGATGGAGCAGAGGGACAGTGAGAGCAAGGAAAGTGGGCAAAATAATTGAGCATGGCGCCAACTTGGGCTTGAATGTGTGCATGCGTATTTGGTTGTTTGTGTGCAGTGGAAGAGCAGGGAATGGCTGGTCCCATTGCTCCTCCATCTATACCTTGTACGAGATTTTACAAACAGAATTCAGAATGTTTGCGACTAGACAATGCCTCAGTCTAGCCGTTTGGCAATTTTCGATCCGGACTGAGAGAGGCGGAGGCGTCGAGGTGTGCGAGGCGTTGCCAAGGTGCCACCGCCATGGGCGGAACCAGTGTGAAGGAGGGCGAGAGACAGCGGGTTGGGGCGAATGTTGAGATGGAAGGATGCTGCGGATGACTTTGGTTTAGTGTACAATGGGACAGATTGTTCATGTCAAACCACCTCTTCGATGGTCCACTGTCTACTAGCAAATAAACAGTTTTTATACAGCTCGCATCTTAAACATGAACGGACAAGTTGCTGACGCTACTCAGGGATGTTAATGACTCAAAATTGATTTTATAAATTGTGAGCTATAACTTTATTATTCTAAAGGTTACCATAGATATTATCTGCTTATATATGTATATGAAATGTTAGGTTCACAAAAAATATTTTTGACGTACGCAATAACTTGGAATCGGTATAGCTGGAACGACATTAGTTTTGTAGCTGATAAGAATTATACGTTTGAACAAATACTGCTTGTGCTTTGAACAGTGCCTTAAAATATATAGCAGCACTCCCTTCACAAAGTAGAAAAGAAGCACGTCTTATTTATGACTTTCAAAGAAAACATTGAAAAAATTCTTTTCCACTGTATTAGAACCAACTCTCACTCATAAAAGGTATAAATCTAGCCTATATTATAATTATCCTGGGATGTTAGTAAATTAATGTTGCCTAATTTGTCGCTTCTGTCAATGACCTTGACTTGTACCCTGGCGATCCAAGGAGGGGCTGTTGCTGTCTCCCGTAGGTCCCATGGGCACGTATATCCTAGGGATGAAAAAAAATGCGATTTTATCAAACACGTGATCAGTATTTTCCTTTATTTTATATACGAATTCGTTTTAATCACTAAACTTAAGAAGTACGACTTTCATTTTCTGATAAAATGGTTATATTGACAAAATAACTAACGAGGAGACAGTTAAAGTAGCCTTGCGAAATTCAGCAAGGAATTGACCTGAGATCAAATAATTTCCTCGTTGTTTGTTTATTGAAATATCCAGTGTCACAACAATTGGGTCTGGTCTGATTTCCAATGAAAGGAAATGGTTTTCATCTTCGAAGCCTCTTTAGAAAAATATTTTCACAATAGCCCAAGTGGAATTGAATCGTATTTTAAGAGCCAAGACTATAAAATAACTTCTGGCGTCAGCAATAAATGGATAATAAATCATATCCATTACTTTTAAGGTCGTAAAAGTCCTGGAAATTCCGCTCTTATTATCCCATTGCTGAAGGAATAGAGTGTATAGTTTTTAAATAGATAAAAGCCCTTTCGGGAACGAATAAACGCAAATAACTCTTCAAAAGTTACTTTGGAGCCTTAAATGTCTAATGAAGGACAAAATTACTTGGCGTGCTTGAGCATTTGGGAATTTTCTTTCAGGCATTTCAATGCTGGAAATATCCAAACAAGTTCACTCTTGAAAGCGCATTGCTAGTAGACTGCAAAAAAATACCGCAAAGACGAGCAGTGGCCCGATCTACTGCTCCACTTTTGTATCCGACTTTACCCATGACACTAATGTGGCACTTATTTAAACCTTTGATAAAACCACTTCCCGTCTTAATGCATTTGGCTGTAGAACAGTCAAACTCTAGCAAAAAGCCTAATGTCACTATTAGATAAAAATACTGCTTAACTTATTTTAGCTGCTGTTATTCGTTTGAATTTTGCCGTTTCTATCAGTTGCTGTTTACAAAGCATGCGCTAGATTGACTTACACAGTTTCTTTTCCCATGTATTCGCTGGATGCATCGTTCGAAGCATCAGCTGAAAGTAAAAGGACATGCAAATAATACCTCTTAAGAGAGTTTGTGTGTGTATGTGTGTGTGAACAAAATGAAGTAATTAGCCCATAAGGCTGGCGAACAAAGGTAAGAGAGCCAACTGGGAGAGACAGGACAAATCCCTTTTGTCTTCAGATAAAAGCTCTAGTGGTACGCATAAATCACACTGAGCATTTCGATAATACCTGAGATAAAACAGTAACAAAACGTACGTTAAGACTGATTTCAGCCTTAAATATTATTTTCTTTTTGCTGACGCATACGAAAGAACCTGTAGGTTTACCTGCGGATAGACCGAATCTGTCTATTGCATCCCACATGCTACAAACTAACCCATTAGCATCCTTACATTTTCCTAGTTTTTTGGACCCTTTGAGAGTCGCAGCTGCGGTAACGTAGCGCCGATCTCCCACACGGCATCCATTAAGCCGGTGGATCACATGCGCAGACGGTGAGGTCTTGGGCGCGCACAGTCTTCCGATCACGGGCTCACGCATGAGAGGGCCGCGGAGGCAGCAGACCACGGTGAGGACAAGGACGAGGAGCAAGAGGGTAATAGCGAGGGGCACGAAGATTTTGAGCACAAAGGAAGCGTCTCCAGTATTCGCGCTGACCCCCAGTGGTGTTTGAAGAGTGTCATGCAGAGTGGTGCTCACCTCTCCTGATAGACCAAAACCGATTTCGCCGGGTCGCGGAACTCGAAGCATGCGAATCGGACTGACATATGACAGAGATGGGCTTCGCGCCAGTATCACACGCATATCGTATTCTTCGCCTAATTTTGTTTTAAAGAGCGCATTTGAAAGAGGAGTACACAAAAATACTGCTGTTGCTGTGATACAAGTGTGGCGAAAAACATTAAAAGTGAATTCGTGACCATTCACATTTCTGCAATGATGAAATCATTTCAATGCGCGACAGACAGGTAGAGAATTGTTTACCAACTGATAAAATCAGATAATCTTTGTGATGGGAGGTAATGTGTGCTAAGTTATAGTTAGTGCATAAACTTCCGTGAAATGTAACTAAATTAAACGGATTTGCGGATTTCATCAGGCCATTCATTAGGCACTGTTCAGTAAATTGAATATTAGATGGCAAATAAACACGTTCTTTTGATAGGGCTGGCTAAAATGTCCCGATATAACATGCAGGGGTCTACAAAATGCGCTCCATTGGTCGTTTGGGAGTATCTTAACCCATAGGTATGCGTAAGTCATTTTTTATCCTTTGCTGCACCCGCTTCTGGTTTTCGCTTATTTTGAATT